GGCCAGGCAGCCGCATGGAGGAGACACAGGGCAGGCTGTAGCACCTGTGTCTGCTCTGCCAGGTGGCTTCTGAGCACCGCGTCCCTCCCACCGCTGAGTCCAGCACCTGTCAGGCCAGGCCTTCAGCACCTCAACTCCCTGGGAGACCCACATTTCTTTCTAAGTCTTCCTATTTCAACCTGGAGACCAAGCTTCAGGGACTCACCAAGTTCTCTGTCCACAGGAGGAAGATCTCCCCTCACAGCTTCAGCAGCCGAACGCCCTGGAAGCTGCCCAGCGGGCTGGCGTAGGCCTCACCTGCTTCCTCTTAGTCTCCTCTTCCCCACTCTGATGTCCCCTAGTATCACCTCCTCCTCACAGACCAACCCATCTTCCTGCGCTCTACTAATTCCCTCCTACACCGTGCTCCCCTCTGCCTCCTGAATCTTCCTTCTCCCTTTTCAGCTACCCATGCATTTCCTTAATCATATAGATATATAAAAGCCTAAGCAACCAGTTGACCATTCGACCGGTAGCTATGACACACACTGACCACGGGGGGCAGATGCTCAATGAATACGCACGGAAACATGGAATAGACTGATGAATCTCAGAGGGAAGGGGGGAAGGGGAGGGTGGAAAGAAATTAACCAAAGCTCATATATGCATACTAGAGGTCTGGTGCATGAATTTGTGCACTGGTGGGGTCCTCAGCCTGGCCTGCGGGATTGGGCCCAAACCAGCAGTCCAACATCCCCCAAGGGGTCCCAGATTGTGAGAGGGTGCAGACCGAGCTGAGGGACCCCACTGGTGCATCAACTGGTGCACCAAGCCCCTAGTTTTAAATATAGTTATTTGAAAATCTTCTAGATTGTTATATTATCTCAAGTTTTGGAGACAGAAATCCTCCTGTTTGTGTTGTATACCATTGCTCATGGTAGCTCAGGTCCTCCTGTGTTTTATAATTTCTGATTGTGAGCTAAAGCTGGGATTTCCCCTCCTCATAGATGGTCCAAGCTGGGCTGTGAAAGCTCCCTCCAGAGATGGTTTTTTCTTTGTTTCTGCTGAAACTACCCTCTATCACTACTCAGTTCACCTTACTCTGGACCAACTTAAGAATCCCCAGGTTATTATTGTTACTGTTGTTGTTGTGAAATATACATAACATAAAATTCAATATTTTAACCGTCTTAGGTGTACAGTTCAGTGGCATTAAATATATTCACATTGTTGCGCAATTATCACCACCATCCACATCTAGAACCTCTTTTGTTGTTGTTAATTCTCCCCTGAGGATATTTTTTTCCATTGATTTTTAGAGAGAGTGGGAGGGGGAAACAGAGAGATAAACGTCGATGGGAGAGAGACACATCAATTGGTTGCCTCCCGCACACACCCCTGACTGGAGTTTGGGATCTATTCTACAACCAAGGCATGTGCCCCTGACCAGAATCGAACCTGACACTCTTCAGTTAGCGGGTCGACCCTCTAACCACTAAGCCAAACTGGCCAGGGCCATATCCAGAACCTTTCATCGTCTCAAACTGAAACTCTGCGCCATTAAAGAGATAACTCATTGTCCTCTCTTCCAACCCAGGAAACCCCCTTTTTACTTTCTGTCTCTATGAATTCAACTACTCTAGGTCCCTCCTATAAGGGAATCACAGTATTTGTCCTCTTGTGTCTAGCTTATTTCACTTATCATAGCATCTTCAAGGTTCATCAATGTAGCAGCATGTGTCAGAATTTCCTTCCTTTTAAAGTTTGAATTATGCTCCCCCGTGTGTATATGCCACATTTTGTTTACGCGTTCATTCACCAATGAACGTTTGCGTTGCTTCCACCTATTGGCTATTGTGAATCGTGCTGCTATGACCATCGGGGTACAGATACCTGTTCAGATATCTGCTTTAAATTCCTTGGGTATATGCCCAGAAGTGGAATTGCTGGGTCATAGACAATTCTGTCTAATTTTTTGAGGAACCACCATCATATCTTCCACAGTGGCTGCACCAATTTACATCCCCAGCAACAATTCACAAGGGTTCGAATTTCCCTGTCAACACTTGCTATTTTCTGGGTTGGTTTTTGTGTTGTTTTTACAGTGGTCTTCCTAAAGCATATGAAGTAATATCTCACTATGGTTTTGACTTGCGTTTCCCTAATGACATTGAGCATCTTTTCGTGTACTTTTGGCCACTTGTCTATCTTCTTTGGAGAAATGTCTGTTCCAATCCTTTGTTTTTAGTCAGGTTGTTTGGGTTTTTTGTTGTTGAGTTCTTTATATAATCTGAAAATTAATCCCTTATCAGATCTATGTTTTGAAAATGTCTACTCGCATTCTATGGGTTGTCTTTTCACTCTGTTAATTGCATCCTTGGAGACACAAACGTTTTTAGTTTTAATTAAATCCAATTTATCTATGTTTCCTTTTGTTGTCTATGCTTTGGTGACATATCCAAGAAATGTTTGCCAAATCCAACGTTATAAAGTTGTCCCCTGTGTTTTCTTCTAAGAGTTTTGTAGACTTAACTCTTATGTGTAGATCTTCGATCCATTTTTAGTTAATTTTTATAAATGGTGTAAAGAAAGAGTGCAACTTCATTCTTTTGAAATTAGATATCCAGTTTGCATAATTTGTTGGAAAGACTGTCCTTAAATGGTCTTGGCCAATACCACACTGTTTTTATTACTGTAGCTTTGTTATAACTTTTGAAATCAGGAAGTGTAAGACATCCAACTTTGCTTTTCTTTCTCAAGATTGTTTTTGGCTATTTGAGATGCCATGTGATTTTTGGTGGGTGAATATTTTTATTTCTGCAAAAAATCATCACTGGGATTTTAATAGGGATTCCATTAAACCTATATTACTTTGGGTAGTATTTAGACTTATAATTCATAAATGTAAGATAGATGTCTTTCCACTTATTTGTGACTCTTCATTTCTTTTAGCAGTTTTGTAGTTTTAAAAAATATATATGTTTTTATTGATTTTAGAGAGAAAGGGAGAGAAACAGAGATAGAAACATCAACGAGAGAGAACCATCACCAGTTGGCTGCTCCTACACGCCCACATGTGCCTGAACTGGAATCGAACCAGTGACCTCTTGGTTCATGGGGTGATGCTCAACTGCTGAGCCACACCAGTCGGTCACGTTTTTTGTAGTTTTTAATGTATAAGTCTTTTGCCTCCTTAGTTAAGTTTATGCCTAAGTATTTTATTCTTTTTATTGCTATTGAAAATGGAATTATTTTCTTTTTAAAAAAATAATATTCTTCTTCAAACTTCTAATTACTTTTTAAATTGATTTTTAGAGAGAGGGGAAAAAAAGAGAGAGAAACATTGATTTGTTGTTTCACTTATTTATGCGTTCGTTAGTTGTGTTCTGATCGGGATCAAACCCACAAACTTGCTAACCACTGAACTATCCAGCCAGGGTTGAAACTATTTTCTGAGTTTTCTTTTTGGATTGTTCATTGTTGTGTGTAGAAACACAACTTCTTTTGTGGGCTGGTTTTGTACTGTGAGACTTGGCTGAATTTTTTAATGAGCGCTAATGTTTTTCTGTGGTTGAATCATATTATTTTGTGTTTGCTTTTGTATTTACTCTAAGACCTGAGCAGTGACCGGTTTTATTGCATCTTCCAAAGCCAGTAAACAGACTCCTTCCAGGTCCCCATTCACTGAGAGTGCAGCTTCGAGGATCCCAGCTGAACTCTGCAGCCCGGTTCCAGCTGCCTGCCTCATGGAGGCCCAGACCTCAGTCCCGCCCTGCACGGCCGCTCCAGTCCAAGTGCTTGCCCCCTTGGGCCTACTTCCCTCCATCCCCTCCCCTCGCAGCCCCTGCTCATCAGCTCATCACCCTCTGTATTTCTGCTCTCTTCATCTGAAAAATGAATATGGCCGAAACCGGTTTGGCTCAGTGGTAGAGCGTCGGTCTGCGGACTGAGAGGTCCCGGGTTCGATTCCGGTCAAGGGCATGTACCTTGGTTGCGGGCACATCCCCTGTGGGGGGTGTGCAAGAGGCAACTGGTCGATGTTTCTCTCTCATCGACGTTTCTAGCTCTCTATCTCTCTCCCTTCCTCTCTGTAAAAAAATCAATAAAATATATTAAAAAAAAGAAAAAGAAAAATGAATATGTTCTATTTTCTACATATTTCTACATACAGGAGTGATCCCTGCACCCCACTTCCAAAGGCGCCCCTCAAGCACCTGAGCTCACAGAGAGCACGCGGGAACCGACATGTTATCCGTGGAAAGACCTCGACTGGACACAGCTGGCGAGGGAAGCAGCCAGTCCCTCCTCCAGGAAGCAAGCATCTGCCTCCCCACGGGGCTGGGCGCCGGCCAGCCTCTCACCATGTGGGTGGTTGCCGCCTACTGTTACTGAGGGCCTACTGTGTGCCAGACACTGTGCTGGGTGCTTTACACATATCCGATCTCGTTTAGCCCTCCTGCCAGCCCTGTGAGGCAGGCATGATTACTGTCACTGATTCAGTTCAGGAAACGGCCAAACACACGGCCAGCAAAGTTGCAGAACCAAGATTCAGACTTGGTTTGGCTCATCCTCTCCAAACACACCTCATCTTCCTCCCTCCTTCCCAAGCCATCTGCACCTTCCTCTTCCCATCCAGTCCTCTGGGCCGGGGCTGTGGGGTTCCCCTGCCTCTGCTCTGTCCTCGGCGCCCAGCGGGTGTGACCCCGGCCGAGGCTGTGGGCCCCGGAGGACCCGTCCACCGGGAGGGACCGGACCGTGGCGCTCACAGGGCTGTTGGCCTGAGCCCCCGTGACTGAGAGAAGGGAGGAGTTTGCCAGGGACTCCGGGGGGGACTCCATGCTGGAGGGAACCCAGCCCTGGTCGGGACCCAAGCACCCGGTCCTCCCGGAGACATTGTGTGAGCCGGCTGGGCCTCCAGACGGCCCCTCCCGCCGCCCCAGCCAGGGTGGTGCTCGTGTGGGAGGGACTTTAAATCCGGCTGCCAGACCCCCGGACGGCAGAGGCAGAGAGGGCTGGCCACCATGCTCAGCTCCCGCAGCCTCCTGGCGCTGCTGCTCCCGCCGCTGCTCCTGCTGGGGGCCGCCCTGGGCCCCGCCCGAGCCCTCAGCGCCGACGAGAGACGCGAGATGGTGGAGCTGCACAACCTGTACCGGGCCCAGGCGGCCGCCGCCAACATGCTGCGGATGGTGAGTGTGGGGCGCACCTGCCAGGCTGAAGGGTGCGGGCCGGGACCCCCACCAACCGCTCCCGTCCCTCAGCCAACGCTGTCTCCCAGGCTCCCTCTCCAGCCAGGGACAGAGTCCCTGAAATTGTATGACTCCCAGGTCCCCCTGGCAGCCCCGCTATAGGACGAGGAAGCAGGCTTAGGGGGCAGGGGGCCTGCAGGGGCTGACAGGGCCAGGCCTGGGTGACCCCGCTCCCCTCCAGCGGCCCTTCCCGAGCCCTTCCTAAATGCATGTGCCACTGGGAGGGGGAACCCCTAGGTGACAACGGTCTGTAGATGCCTCCCAAGGAGGGGAGAGAGGAATCGGCAGCAGGACGGGCCCAGGCGCCTGAGCAGGAGGGCAGCCCGAGGTGGCTAGCACTGAAGCAGGCAGGGAGCACCTCGTCCGGCCACCTGCAAGACCCGTGACTTTGGGAGAGTCCCTGAACCCCGGAAGGACCCTCTGCTTCTCGTCTGTAGAGCGAGGTCATAACTGAGTCACACGTGTATCAACGTGGGCTGACTCTCGTAGATGTAATTTTGAGTTGGGGTAAAAATGAAACTCAGCCCTCGCCAGTTTGCTCAGTGGTTAGAGTGCGGGCCCACAGACTGGAGGGTCTCGGGGTGATTCCGGTCCAGGGCGCACACCCGAGGTGCAGGCTTGATCTCCGGCCCCAGTCGGGACGCATGCGGGAGGCAACCAGTATCTCTCTCTCACATCGATGTTTCCCCCTCCCGGTCTCTCTTTAAAAATCAATAGGAAAAAATATCCTCGGGTGAGGATTAACAAAAAATTAAAGAAATCTCGAATACATGTATACTAGGATATGTTTACATGAAGTTTAAAAATGTAAAAAATACTGTTATATGCAGGTGGAGCTCGTGCTGATTTGGTAAACACACATGCACAGCCTGCGCAGGACAGGGCCGCTCAGGGTGGTGGTTACACTGCCTCAGGGGAGGTTATCTGATGGCAGCGTTGGGGCAGGCTGTTCCCCTCAGGATTTGAAGAGATGAAGTGAGAACTTCACCCCCTTCCTGCTCTCCCCGAGGACTAGCCGGCCAGCCCCCCTGCCCCCCTCAGGTAGCCGGAGGGTGATGAGCAGTGACCAGGGAGCCGGAACTGGCGCCCAGAGCACGGGCACACTGGGGACACAGCAGCAAGCCGGAGTGCGAGACCAGTGTTAACAGCCGAGTCCAATCTGGCGAGGGGACTCTGGTGGCCCCTTTAGGTCAAAGGCCTGTTTCCTGATCTGTCCCGAGGGGCTAGCATCCCTGCCCAGAGGGCCCGGCAGGATGGCATAGGAGCGACTGGGGTGGGGGGGACAGCCAGCGACTGAGACACAAACCAGGAGCCGGTACCACTCTGCCAACGACTCTGACTGAGCCCGGAATACATCGTCGGGCCTCAGTTTCCCCATCGGCAGGGCCTTCGTGCCCACAGCCTGCTGGCTGAGGCTGGGGCTACGCCGGCTGGGAGCCACTTTGCCTGCAGAGATGGGCCTCAGGGCGGACAGCACTCCTGCAAGCAGGTTGGCATTGGGGGGCACAGGCTCAGCAAGCCTCTCTGTGGTAAATGCAGGCTCTGGAGCCACAAGGCCTGGGGTCAAATCTCTTTTCTTGTAATATATTTTTATTGATTTCAGAGAGGAAGGGAGGGGGGAGAGAGAGAGAGAGAGGGAGAGAGATCAGTGATGAGGGGGAATCATTGATTGGCTGCCTCCTGCACACCCCACAATGAAAGATGGAGCCTGCTACCAGACATGAGCCCCGACCAGGAACTGAATGATGACCTCCTGGTTCATAGGTCGATGCTCAGCCACTGAGCCATGCCGGCCAGGCTCAGGTTTTAACTTTGCCATGCATTAGCTGTGTGACCTCAGCCAAGTCACTTAGCCTCTCTGTGCCTCAGACCTCCTCATCTGTAAACTGGGGATGAGAATAGAACAATCCCTGGCTGAGTGGCTGTGAGGACTAAATGGCAATCATGTGGGAAGCACTCAGAGCAGCCTGACAATTAGTAGCTCTCAGTAAGAGTGGGATTAACAAGAGCGAGTGGCCGTGGGTGAGGCAGGTGGGGGTCAGGTGGACTCCTCTCTCCCTCAGCCTCCACATCTGACCATCACCACCTTTACACCCAGAGGTTCCTCTTCCCGAATCCTTCCTCCTGCCCCAGTCTCTCCAGCACAACCGGATTCAGCCTCCCTTTCTCCTCCGGACATCCAGAGCAGCCGCTCCTGCCCCGGCTCCGGCTGCACTGCCAGAGCCAACGGCCCCACACAGGCTCCCAGTGCCCACGACAAGCTCCACCTGAGAGGGCTCTGTGCCCTGCCCTGGCTGCCCCTCCTCCCTGCCTCTCACCTCCCTGCCTCTGCTCCTCACCTTCCTGCCTCTGTCCCTCACCTCCCTGCCCCTCACCTCCCTGCCTCTGCCCCTCACCTCCCTGCCTCTGCCCCTCCTCCCTGCCCCTCACCTCCCTGCCTCTGCCCCTCCTCCCTGCCCCTCACCTCCCTGCCTCTGCCCCTCCTCCCTGCCTCTCACCTCCCTGCCTCGGCCCCTCCTCCCTGCCTCTCACCTCCTTGCCTCTGCCCCTCCTCCCTGCCTCTCACCTCCCTGCCTCTGCCCCTCACCTCCCTGCCTCGGCCCCTCCTCCCTGCCTCTCACCTCCCTGCCTCTCACCTCCCTGCCTCTGCCCCTCACCAACCTGCCTCTCACCTCCCTGCCTCTGCCCCTCACCAACCTGCCTCTGCCCTCTGGTGCCTCTATGGACCCCTGCGTGTCTGTCACTCACCACGTGGCGGCCATCAGTGGCTCATGGCGATGTGAATTTGGGCTCCTGGGTCCTTGTTGTTGCTCAGGCTGGCGCGGTGCCCAGGACTGTTAAGTGAGTGAATAAGTGAGTGAAGGGACAGGTTTTCACATGATGACCATGTGGCCAGTGGGGTGGTGCTGTGACTCCCAAAACTCCCCAGGGGTCTCGGGACACTAAGAAGCCTTAGGACAGAGCGGTGCCCTTCACGGTGGGGCCCAGGCAGCTGGTGGAATGGAAACGCAGGAGCTCTGAGCAGAGGCTGCCTGAAGCAGGGACCATTTCAGCCATCCACAGCTGGCAGGTCCCTGCTGTGCCATCCCTGAGCCAGCCCTGTGCCAGCCTTGAGCTAGCCCTGAGCCATCTCTGTGCCAGACCTGAGCCATCCCTGAGCCATCCCTGTGCCAGTCTGAGCCAGCCCTGAGCCATCTCTTTGCCAGCCCTGAGCCATCTCTGTGCCAGCCCTGAGCCAGCCTTGAGCCAGTCTGAACCAGTCCTGAGCCAGCCCTGAGCTGGACGGTGGGATGCATGGTTGCCCCACCTGAAGGAGCTCACAGTCTAGTGTGCAATCCAGCCAGCCTGCCAGGTGCCCTGTCCTTGTCCCGGCTTCCTGCCCCTTCACCCCTCCCACCTCCCACTCCTGCCCCGGTGTGAGGGGGCCTCCGGGACCAGAGATTTGAGACAAAAGGTCCGGAGAGGGAAGGGACTCACCCAGTCACGCGGCCGGGCTGTCCCAGCCAGTGCTCCATCCCCCCGGCGGCTCCGGAGAACTGTGTGAGCTGGGGCTGGGTGTGGACACAGCCCCCTCCTTCAAGAGCCGAGCTCTGGTGCTTTCTGGGCCGCCTGGCCCCACAGGAGGGTGGAGACCGAGTGTGGGCCAGGCGATCCTTCCAGGAGAAGCCGGAGCAAGTTTAATGGGATCCAGGCTCCCTCCTCACTCTTTGGTCAGCTGCCTTGTTAGTCCCTCTTCCCACCCACCCTGCGCTGTGCCCCAGCGAGGGACCCAGCACCTCAGAGGCCCCCTCCCGTCCATGCTCTCCTCCTGCCGTCACCCCGAGGCCGTCACCCCGAGGCCGTCACCCCGAGGCCGACAGAGAGCCCTGCCTTTGGGAGGAGACGTTCTCTGGAGGAGGCCTCCAGGGAGAGTCACTCCTCACTGGGCACCTTGTGGTCTGCAGGCAGTGCAGGCGGCTGGGAGGGAGGCAGGGGCATCGCTGCCAAGTCTCACGGGGATATTAATATGAATTAATAAGATCACGGTCCCTAACCCTGACCCTCCTCCCCGCAGAGGTGGGACGAGGAGCTGGCCGCCTTCGCCAAGGCCTACGCCCGGCAGTGCGTGTGGGGCCACAACAAGGAGCGCGGGCGGCGCGGGGAGAACCTGTTCGCCATCACGGACGAGGGCATGGACGTGCCGCTGGCCGTGCAGGAGTGGCACGTGGAGCGCCAGCACTACAACTTCAGCGCGGCCGCCTGCGAGCCGGGCCAGGTGTGCGGCCACTACACGCAGGTGCGGGCGAGAGCGTGGGCGGGGCCTCGTGGGCAGTGGGCGGGGGCTCGTGGGCAGTGGGCGGGGGCTCGTGGGCAGTGGGCGGGGCGGGACCACCTGTCCCATCGTCTCCCCACCCCGCAGTGCCTTAGTCCGCACTCTAAGCCCCCTTAGATCCTTCCTAAAAGCCATCACTCCACAGCTAATGATTGTCTAGACCTGACAACGTCTGCTTCTCACACTGATAGACCGTTTCCAGTTCTCTCTATAAAAACCACAGTCTGAACACCCAGGCCGCCCCTCGGGCCTCGGCTGCTGAACAGACCCAAGTTCGGTGTCTCGGAGCCCGTTTCTGCCCGGCAGTTACTGCACAGGCCACCCCATCCAAGCCGGAAACAGCCAGGCCTCCAGCGCAGGCCCCAGAGCTGTGCCCCAGCAGCAAGGACCTCCACTCTGTCTCCCCGCTCACTGTCCCTCTTTTGTCATTTCTCATGGTGTCTCAGTTGTTGCTTCTAATCTGCCAAAGGGGAAAAATAAACAAATAAACAAGCAAAAAACAAATACATAATTCTGTTGTTTAAATTTTCGTTTGCTTTTAAAAACAACATAAATGAGAGCAAATTGTCACGGGGGGAAGGTTTCGGGAGCCTCTGAGAGCTTGTCCCTGCCTCTCACAGTTGCTTTTTGCTTATGGATTCTCACTGCATTTGGAAAGTTTGAGTTTGCAGATATGGGGTGTAAGGGTGTGTGCTGGGGAATTAAGTTCCTGAATTCTCTTTTTCCTCCTCCCAATGCTTATCTGTTGTTTAACAATAACACAAAGACAAGTTTTGTGTTTTCTTTTCTCTTTTTTTTTTTTAAAGACAAAAATAAACCAACCATCTTCCCACCCATATCCACCAATTCCATTTTCCAGTGCCTCCTTTGAGTGGTATTCTTAGTGCTAATCTTTAGGGCAGGAAATCCCAACCTCACCCACCGAGATCAGGAAGTTATGAGGGTGCAGCAGCCCCCCTCTGTACCCTGCCATCCCCTCCCCCATCCTCCCAGGGATTGCTGCCAGTGCCCAGCACAAGGGGGTCTGCCCCACCTCCACCCCGGCATTCTCTAGGGCTGAGTGCATAAGCACTTGCTCAGCTCTGCCTGGGAGATGCTCAGCAGTGGTCCCTGGCGGACCTTCGGCTGATGTGAGCAGAGACACCAGTCCTGGGAGGGTGGGCAGAAGCAACAGTCAGAGCCAGAGTTCACAGCAAAAACCCGCTGTGTGAGTGGCTCCTGGGCAGACGAGGCCTCGAAATAGCCAGTCTCCACCCATATGCACAAAGACTGTTTTGACTTCTTAAATTTTATACTCGAGGCAGAACTCCTAGCAGCCAGGAGACCCCTTAGAGATGGCAGGTCCCTGCTTCCTTGTGATTTGGGGAAAGTCCCACTTCCCAGATGGCTTCTCCTGTTTCTTTCCTTGGAGTTTACTCATTGCCGAGTTTAAGATTCTCCCATTTGAAATCAATTCCTTTGGATAGACCCCTCGTTTAAAAAGCAAGAGCCTCTGGGAATAGCCCACAGGAAGAATGCATGAGGACATAGCAAAGGGGATGGTTTTCAGAGGGAGAGAGGCCTGGTGAAATGGTGGTGGGCAGGGGAGAGTAGTCTGCTCAGGACAAACCCAGCACCCTGCCCTCCCCATCCCCCCGTTCAGAGCTTTGTCCTTAAGCTGCATGTCATCAGGGGCTTGGACCTCACAGGCTGCACGGCTGGCTCCTCTCCCCGCCTGCAGAGGCTGGTCAGAGCGACTCCAGCCAGGGCCCAGCCCATCCACGCTAAACTTGGTTTTGCCCTCCTTCAGGTGGTCTGGGCCAGGACAGACAGGATTGGCTGTGGCTCCCACTTCTGTGAGAAGCTCCAGGGCGTGGAGGAGACCAATATCCACTTACTGGTTTGCAACTATGAGCCCCCGTGAGTCCGAGGGAGCCGTTGGGGTGGGCAGAGCCAAAAGGACTGGGTTGGACGCAGTCTAAGGAGGTGGGTGGGGGTAATCTGGAGCCCAGGCCCTATATGCCCCTGGGGGTGCTGTGAGGGGACCTATAAGTCTGCTCTCATTGATCCAACCAATTAGGTGGGGCAAGTAAGAAGAGCCTGGGGCACTTCCGGTCTAGGTGTGTGTATAAAGGCTAGGGTCAGGGGTTGCCAGGGACCCCCCAACCGCCAGCATCCTCCTTGCCTCCTGCAGGGGGAACGTGAAGGGGCACAGACCCTACCTGGAGGGGACTCCGTGTTCCCAGTGTCCCTCCGGGTACCGCTGTGAAAATTCCCTCTGTGGTGAGTCTGGGATGGGGTGCGGAGGGAGAGGAAGGTGAGGGAAGTGCGTGGACTGGGGAGGGGCCCAGTGGACTGGGGAGGGGCCCAGCGCAACCTCCAGGGGCCTTCGGCAGCCCCACCCCATCCGGGTTCCCAAGCCGTTTTGGCCCTCCTTGGGCACCCACTTGGACGTCCTCTCTTTCCAAGTGACCGGATTTCAACCCTCGCAGCAGAGAGTAGCACTGGTAAGGGGAAGGGGGGGGAGGGGCAGGGGCAGATGGGAAAAGCCAGGTAAACAGGCTGGTTGGTGAACGTGTTAGGAACTGGGATCCAGCTAAAAACTGGAAATGCTAGTGCAGAGAGAGGAAGACTTGGACAAGGAGGTGATGGAGGAGCAGCCGTGTCAACCACAAGAAGTAACGTTTATTATCAGAGGGCTATGGGGTCCTGCTTGAAGCACTAATGCCAGGCCTTGTCTCTCTTAGCAGAGCCCATGAGCGACCCAGAGGAGGTAACTGAGACCCCATCTTTCCTGGCAACCGAAGCCTCAGGCTCTAGGAAAGAGGGCATCGCCACTTCCCTGGCAACAGAAACTTCATCCTTCTTGGTAACAGAGGTCTCAGGGCCCCTGGCAACCAAGGCTCTACCTTCTATAGAGACCAAGGCCCCAACTTCCTTAGCAACGGAAGGCCCAACCTCCATGGCAACTGAGGCTCCATCTTCCTTAACAACTGAGTTCCTTCCGATTTCGGAAACTCACAGCCCGCTCTCCTTGGATGAGGGAACAGCTACCTCCCCCAAATCGACCCATGACCCCACCTCAAAAGGGGTAGACCAAGAGGCCAGCGAGACAACAATGCCCTCCACGAGCCCAGAGAATTCTCTGCACCTCCAGGTGTTCCCGACAGGGACACAAGGGCTGCTACCCCCCTCCCAGGAGGAGGGCAAGGCTGAGGCCGAGTTGCCTTCGTCCAGTGAGGTCTCGGCCCCAGTTCCTCCAGCCCAGGAGGAGCCAAATGAGCTGCCGGCCACGCTGAACCACAATGGGCCCATCCTCTCCAAGTCCCTGCCCGACTTTCCCAACACAGCAGCCACCGCCAATGCCATGGGCAGCCGCACCCTGGCCCTGCGGTCAGGTAAGGCCTGCAGTGTCCGCCCTACCTTCCTTCCTGGGTCCAGACCGTCACCGTGAGGGACATGTGCCCTCTGAGCAGGAGCTGCCTCCTGGCTGCTGAGCCCCCGCCTGCATGCTTGGTGGGGTGGGTGGGAGTTCAGGCAGAGCTGTCTCCAGGCCGAGGCAAACCCTTTCCCTTCCTGTAGGTGCAGAGGACCCGGTAGGGTCTGAAACCTATGCCAGGCTGACCTCGGGCTCCGGCCACAGCTGGGGCCCTCTTCTGGCTCTGCTGCTACTGCCTCCCCTGGTGTTGGCTGGAATCTTCTGAGGGGTCACTACTCAAAGGCAAGGCCTGGTGCGGGGGACCCTGGCCTCATGCCTACTCTGGATCCTCCTCCGCCAAGTGAGGCCACATCTTCCCAGGCAGGTCCTGCTCTGTGGCCCAGCAGCCGCCTCCAACCCAGCTTCCGGCGCTGTCCCGGCAGCGCCCCCGCCTCGGGCGGCCGCCCCTCTGCTAGCTCGGACTGAGCGGTCTTCCTGTGGCCGCGGCCCTGCTTTTAGGGACAGGAGATCTCGGGGCTCTCCAGGAACCCCTGGCCCCTCCCGCCCCCTGGCCTCTTCCTGGAGACATCTGAGTCCCAGCTATTCCCAGGGGTGCCTCCTGCCTTCCCAGAGTGAGGAGGTCAGCTGCCCTTCTGCCACCTCCCCCACTCCGTCCCCAGCCCCCGAATAAAACACTTCGTGGCCAAAGGCCCTCTGGAAGGGAAGGCTGCAGGGCACGCGCCTCGCTCAGGCACCTTGCCTGGCTGGCGGTGAGCTCAGGCTGCCGCCTGATGGCTGCACATCTGACCTGGGCCCCTCCTGTGTCAGTCCAGGGGTGAGGGGGGATTCTGGGGAGACCCCTGCCAGCCTGGCCTGGGTTTTTGCCTCCCTCTTCCTACTTGCCATGTAGCTGGGGGTGGAGGGGTGGGGGGCAAGTGGACAAGCCCCACCTGGTGGGGTGCTATGGGTGGGGCAGGCAGAGACCGGGAGTGGGAAACAGCTCTGATTCCTGAATAAAAGCCTGTGTAAGATACCCGGTCTCCATGGTTGCGAGGGCAGGGGGCGCTGAAGAGGCTCAACATCTCCCCTGCCAACCTGTGGCACCTGTTCTCTCTTCTCACACCTGCTTCCCCCAAATACTCCATTTAGCTCTTTGGGGCACCTTCCTTTCTTTCATGTCAGCATCAAATCGTCAGGCTGCTGACAGGAGGGTAAAGGGCCCAGGGCCCTGGGCTGGCTCTCCCAGCTCCGGGACTCACCTGTCAGGCCACGTTGGGTTCGGTGCCCAGGGTCCAGGAGTGGCATGCACCCTCTTCTCAGGGTGCTGCTACCCAGGTGCCCCTGGGACACAAGGTCAGAAATGGAGCCAAGCCCTGGTGACTGGAGGAGTCCTGAGGAAGGCGAGTCCCAGACACTGCCCCAGCGGGCACAGCAGGGCTGTGCAGACGTGCAGCGGGCAGAGCAGGGCTGTGCAGACGTGCAGCGGGCAGAGCAGGGCTGTGCAGACGTGCAGCGGGCAGAGCAGGGCTGTGCAGACGTGCAGCGGGCAGAGCAGGGCTGTGCAGACGTGCAGCGGGCAGAGCAGGGCTGTGCAGACGTGCAGCGGGCAGAGCAGGGCTGTGCAGACGTGCAGCGGGCAGAGCAGGGCTGTGCAGACGTGCAGCGGGCAGAGCAGGGCTGTGCAGACGTGCAGCGGGCAGAGCAGGGCTGTGCAGACGTGCAGCGGGCAGAGCAGGGCTGTGCAGACGTGCAGCGGGCAGGAAGGCACAAGTGTGTGTGCAGGGCCAGCAACAGTAGGTGGCTGAGGGCGACTTGGTGCCATGCTGGTGTTGGTGCTGGTGAGGGGGCAGAGCGACTGTCTCCAGACTAAAGCCAGTGCCAGCAGTTAAACAGGAGGCATTCAAGACAGGCCAGGGATGCCTGCCTTTCATACATGTATAAAAATATGATACCATATATCTCTATTAAGATATAACTCACATAACATGAAACTCACTCATTTAAATTGTACACTCAATGGTTTTAAGTGTCTTCAAAGGGTGGTGCACCGTCACCAAGGTCAATTTTAGAATATTTTTCTAAACCCCACACCCTTAGAAGTCACGTCCTCTTTCCCTCCAAGCCCCCTCCCCCCAGTCTAATCCACTGTCTCTGTGGACTTGCCTGTTCTGGACATTTTGTATAAATAGAATCATTCACTATGTGGCCTTTTCACGTAGCATAATGTTTTCAAGGTTCCTCCATGTAGTAGAATAGAGCAGTCCAGCACTCCATTCTTTTTTTTTATTACCAAGTAATATTCCAAGTGTCCACCCCTCAGGCAGTGGACACTTCAGTTGCTTCCATTTTGGGGCTAGTATAATAATCCTGCTAGACACACTCCTGGACGTTTTCATTTCTCTGGGAGAGATACCTAAAAGTGGTATCCCATGTTAACTCTGGATCCTGTGGTAACTCATGTTTAACTTAATCCTCTTCCATTGGTCTATATGTCTTTCTTTATGCCAGCACCACACCACATTGACTACTATAGCGATGGACTAAATTTTGAAATCAGGAAGTGCAAGTCCTCCAACTTTGTTCTTTTTTAAGATTGTTTAGGCTACTCTAGGCACCGTTAATTTTAGGACCAGCTTCTCAAATTTCTGCAAAGAAGTCAGCTGAGATATTAACAGGGTGTGTGTAATCTGCCATCTTGACAATGTTAAATCTTCCGATCCATGAGCATGGGATGTGTTTCCATTCATTTAGGTCTTTTAATTTCTTTCAACAATGTTTTAGAGTTTTCAAAGTGTAAGCTTTTCAATTCTCTTGTTAAGTACTTTGTTACTTTTGATGCTATTGTAAGTAAAATTCTTAATTTCATTTCTACTTTGTTCAATTGCAAGTGTATAGAAATACAATTGATCTTGAATCCTATGACTTTGCTGAAATCACTTATTATAGAAGCATTTTTAGTGGATTCCTTAGTATTTAAAAAAATGTTTTTATTGATTTCAGAGAGAGGAAAGAGAGGGAGATAGAAACATCAATGAGAGAGAAGCATTGATTGGCTGCTTCCTACAAGTCCCTTACTGGAGATCAAGCTCACAACCAGGGCTTGTGTCCTGACTGAAAATCCAACCAGCAACCTCTTAGCACATGGAACAAGGCTCAACTACTGAGCCACACTGGCCAGGGCCTTAGGATTTTTTATATACAAGATCATGTCATCTACAGTTTTACTTCTTCCTTTCGGATAGTCCTTCCAGTGCACTGAGCAGTGAGTGGCAAGAGCAGACATCCTTCCTTCTTCCTGATCTGTGGGGAGAAGCATTAGGTCTCTCCCCATTCAGTGCTATTTGTGGAGTTTTCATACTTATCAGGGTATATCATTGACTAGGTTGAGGAAGTTCTCTATCCCTAGGTTTTTCTTAATGTTTTTATCATGAAGGTGTCGAATTCTGCCACATCCTCTTTCTGTGTCTACTGAAACGATCCTTTGGCTTCTGTCCCTTCTGTGGGTGTTTACATCGATTTCCAGATGTTGACCCGACTTGTCCTAGGGGACGTTTCCTAATGCTGCCTCCTGTGAAGAACACCCTCAGGAACACTGTCACCTGAGAGAACCTGTCCCAGGCCAGGGGCGGGGCCTCTGGGAACGCATGCAGAGAGCGGGCGTGTGCAGAGGGTGGGAGGGGCTGGCTCCCAGCACAGGCGGCTGCTGCCACCTCAGGCTTCATCACAGGGGTCCCTGTCACAGGCCATCCCGGCTCTGTCCATCAGAATGAAGTGTCCCTGGGCGGGGGATGGTGACTGGCTTCACAGCACTCCCGAGCCCATCACCCCTCCTTCTGCCGACAGCTCAGCTTCCCTCCTGCCCCAATACCATCCACCTCTTCTGCCAGACTGGGACTTTGCCACTCTGTTTCCTGGACTGCCAGGGAGCATGCCAGGTGCTCAGAGGGCCCAGGCAACAAAGGGAGCGTTTAATACACTCACATATGCATCTGAATATTGAACTGAAAACTTGCTTTTCAGTTCAGACGTAAAACCTGGACTCTGTTCAACTATAAATAGAGGATCAAAAGGTGTTTTCTAGGCATTTCTGGGTGTGGAAGAGAGCCTGGGAAATGTCGAGACCCCAAAATTCAGGGATCCCTGGGTGTTACCTGGAACAGCAGGCTCTCAGGCACCGCGCCAGCCCACCTGCTCCGTGGCCTCTCAGGCAGGGAGGAAGGGCCCTCAGGCCAGCGCAGCTCAGGACTCCAGATGGAAGTGGCACCAAAGCTGGGACCGTGAGAAGTAATCAGTGCACGCAAGATCGGGACGTGGGAGACAGGAAGCAAGGTTATCCCAAACCGGAGTCAGTGCAGGGGAAACCACGCTGGGATGGAGAATGGCAGGTGCCTCGAGGCAGACGCACCCTGAAGGACCTGCCTTCTGTAAAGAAATGAGGCCGGAGGGGGAAGGCATGTTCCCCTTTCCCGCTCCCTTAGAGTCAGGACACCTGCTGAGGAATGTCTTCTGGGGGAACAAGGATCCATAATAAACTGCTCTCCAGCCATCTGTCACTAGGCCTCTGGGGAACACCAGTCCTGCCAAAGCACCACCAGGCTAGAGCAAGGGCAAGACACACGGAGGAAGCAGGCCAGGCAGCCATGGCATTCAAACCCCCAGGGTCTCAGGGCCGGGACCGCCCATCGGCACGTTCTGCCTGTCTCCAGACCCGGCGTTGGGCAGAGATGCTTCAGCTGGGCCCACGTCGGCCCCTTCTGCTGTTGCCACGTGACTACACCAAATGACTCAGTAAACACTGCAAACCCACCCACAGCTGGTGCGGAGATGAGTCAGGGTTTGGAGGAACACCTTTGGAAGCTGAGAAGCCTTTAAAGGGACTGTCTCCCTAGCGACAGGCCCATGCACGGCTTGTTGATCTGTGAATGGCATCTTGGCCAGTCTGTTTCAGAAACCACCCCCATCTCCCCACCCCCCCCCCCCCCCAGGTGGCTGATCTACACCGCGCCTGCCACTTCTCAACCCAGGCTGTGCTGCCTCAGCCCTGCCACTCCACAGCACATCACATCCTCGCACAAACACCAAGAACTGAGAGATCAAAGTAAGAGACTCCCACAAAACTCCAAATCACCACCAGTACATTTATTTGAGGACGAAACGGTCAAAGTGGGTAGGACTAGAGATACTGATCTGCCTAACACTGGGTGTTCACAAGTGCACAGGGAACCAGATCCCGCACACGAGGCGTCACCATTAAGCAGGTGTGCATTCAATGAGGTACACATTCTGAGTGGCCGTGTGATTTCCCGTTGAGAGGGGCTGCCTCGCCATCAGAAAAGTAGTGTTGAGAACAACGGCAGAACCTAGCCACAGCTTCTAGCACAGGCCTGGGCATGATGGCGGCTGGTGGCAGGCGAGCACGCCCTATTTACAAGCAGGAGGCGGCGCTCCCAGCTGAGCTGCAGGGGGAGCTGGGGCTGACTGGGGATGAGTGGGGTGGGACCTGACATCAAGAGCCTTTTCCCATCCAACCTGGGCCTCTGCAGCGTTTTGACCTGCAACAGGCAGACCTGGCACATGTGTGAAGCACGGAGATTCTGCTTCTGTGAAGCCTGGGCCTCCCTCGCCCGCCGCCCCGTTCTCCAGCCCCGCCCCACCTTCCCCAGGCCCAACAGGTGACTGACCCCTGGATGCAGCCTCACCCCACTCAAGCCCGCTTCTGGACAGACACAGGGCAAACATGGACGCCGAAGCCCAGCTGGGCTGCGGCACATCTAGGAGTCGCTGGGTTAGAGTTGTCTTACGAGGCCCAGGCTGACCGGGCCCCCCCGCGCGGCCGGGCGGACTGCCAGGCTGCGCTGCGGGTCTTAGTGATTCAGGTTACTCCACGGCGAAGTAGGATCCTGACGACACCCGGCGGAAAAGCAGGCTGGAGCCACGGAAGAGCTGGCCCTGGACGGGAAGGAAGTTGGTCAATGAGAGGGGAGGCCGGCTTTCCCATCCTGCCCCCGAGCAAGGCCAGCGTGAGCGAAGGAGAGCCCAGCGGCTCCGAGCTCAGGGTTGGGGAGGGCCCAGGCTGCATCCCTGAAGGACAAGGTCACAACCTGCCTGAGCCGAAGTGGTTCACTGGCCACTCGATGCCACAGGCGTCCACTGGTGATGGGTAACTTAGTAAGCACCCCCAAAGAGGAGGGTCCTCTGGCTCCAGAGCCCAAGTGGCCCGGGCCCCTCCAATGCCCACAGGACGAGACGCACAGGGAACGCACTGGGCCACTGGGAAGAACTGCACCCACTGTTGCCTTGCCGAGTCCCTCCCATCTGTCCTCTCGCTAACCCCAGGTCAGCAGTGCGCGGGCTGCTCGCCAGGCACTGCCCCATTCACGAGGCAAACCAAGGCTAGGAAGGCGAGGATCTGCCCTAGACACCAGGAGCCTTGACGGGGGGGCCTAAGGGCTCCAGCCAGGGGAAAGGTGCTTGGGTGGCAACACCAACCCCAAGACTGCCCCGCACCAGGCCCACCGTGTGGCCCAGGTCAGTCCCCAGGCTCTGTGGGCACAGGGTGTCCCGCCAGAGGGCTCGGCCCCCAGTACGCCAGCTGCCTGGCAGGAGCTGCCTCAACCCCACGGCCTATTTCCAGCGTCTTATTCCAGGTGTGAGAGGGTGTGTGCCACCTCCATGGCTCCCACACATCTGATCCAGCCGTCTTAAGAGTTGAAGAAAAGGGGACTTTTTCTGATGTAAATTTTTAAGTGGACTCAGATCTAACTACCTCAAACCCTAAGATAAAGTGAAAAGTCCCTTTAAATGTCTTAAACCAAGTCTGCATTTACATTCTCTTTATCCTCCTCACAACCCTGGATTCCATGGCAACCCTTATCTTTCCACGCAGTGAAGCGCCCACAAACGCCTGTGGCCGGCTCAGGCACCTCTGGGAGCTTGCTCACCTGCGTGCTCAGGTACTTCCAGCAGTGGATCCAGGACTTGAACACGGGGGAGTAGGGGGGGAGCCCGGCCCGCAGCCTGCGGGGAAGGGGAGCATGTGAGACCCAGAGAGCCCTGGAGGTGATCACCAAGGAAAGACCCCAAGAAGGAATGGCGTGGCACTGCCGCTACCCACATCCCGAACCAGTCATCCCAAAGGGGAGCCAGGGAGCCAGGCGGGATGTCAGGCCCAGATGGGAGGGGCAGAGCGCTGGACAGGCTCAGCTGGGTGCCCAGCAGCCTTGGCAAAGTGCCTGGTGGAGGGGCGCACACCTACCCACAGTTGTTCACGGCCATGAGGTCACCGACCAGCAGGAAGGGGTAGGTCAGCATGCTCACCGCGATCTGAAACCCAGGGAGACCTGCGTGTCAGTGACCCCCTCGCCAGCCCCACCGGGGCTCAGGGAGCAGGGGCACACTGTGCCAACATCCTACACCACGGCCGGCCCCCAGCCACTCCCAGAGCTGCCCTCCCAGGCCCCTGGGGCAGTGGGAAGGGCGGCTGGCTTGGCTTACCCCCATCACAAATTTGGTGTAGCTGCGGATGGCCAGGGCCTGGCTGAACTGCAGAGACAAAAAGGAAGACGGGTTTGCCATGGACACCTCAGGATGCACACGTCACACTGCAGAACCCTGCCGTGCTGCCTGGTCCTGGCCTTTCCCCCGACCGCTCCCTGCCTCACACACCCGTGACACTTCCGGGCCCTGCCAGCAGCCTCCGTGGCCCTGGAGCAGAGCCACGGGAAGATCCGGGAGGCAGGGGTGGGACAGCCAGACTGAAGGGATTCCCTGGTCCCGCAGGGACGGCGAGGAGTGAAGGCCAGGTGAGGGGATCCCTGGCGGCTGGCCTGTGCAACCCACTGGCTGTGAGCTGTGAGGGCTTGGCCTGTGCTGCCCTGGTCAGTCTGAGGCTTGGCACAGTGCCCAGGGAGTGCTCACCGGCCAGAAGACAGCCAGCCACCTGAACTACCCAGGCCCAAATCCGTCCTACATCAAAACGGGGGAAGCCTCAGCTTCCTGCCCCCTTCAGACCGCAACCTTGCCCCGGAAAGGGGCCCACCTAACCTTCAGCATCTTGTGGCATGGCCGTCCCACCAGGTGAAGCACCTACAAGACCCCTGGATGCAGGTCTGCTCAGCCCTCTGCCCAATGGCAGCTTCCTCTTTAAAAGCACTTTCAGTGGAGCTGCTGAGTGCCGTTGTTGGAGGCTAAACGCAGCAGGCCTGGTCACACACCGGCCACCTAGACTAGAGGGAACCCATCAGTTGTGGGATGCCCCCTCCACCTCCGCTGTCGCCGCCTGGCGCTCTGACGGCAGCAGCTCCCCCACCCTCGAGGCCCTGAGAAAGGGGCCATCTGAATTCGCTCACTTTGAAAGGCCAGTAAGACACCTACCCAAGACTGACAGTTCCCGAGCAGAGGCTTTCACTGCTCACTCACCAGGCACAAGCCCAGACACACACAGAACTGCCCAGACACAGACACATGTAGACTCTGACACCCTCCACCCCCAGTAGACAGGTTCTAAGTCCTCACCGTCCTTCCTGGGGTTGGCAATCCCTGCTGTTACAATGGCTGGCTATCAGCAACCCTCACCCATCACTGTTCCCCAACTCTCATCTGGATTCAGACAGAATCGGTCAAGCCATCAGGTCCTTAGACTCCTTTCTTCTCGGTGCCTTTTAGAAGGCAAGGCCTCCGCATGCCCGACCCAACTGCTGAGGTCTGTGCGCAGCAGGTGTGGGCCTCTGTGAGCACAATACTGGGGTGCTCCTGGGTAGCACACTTCCTAGTGGATTTGAAAACATAAAGGGGGGAGCACCCCTACCTTCACAGGGAGGACTGAGGCCCAGGCCTGTCGACCCCAGCCAAGTGCCTCTGGAGAGCCCCTGTCTCTGGGCCTCAACGTCTCTGTCTGGGAGACAGGATGGCATGCCTGCCCTCTTTCCTTCACAACCAGGTGCTCTCAGGAGCCAACGTCATAGTGTTCACATAGGGTTTTCAAAGCATCAAACACTAAGCAGGAGTGAAAGGATGGCTGGGAGTTGGTCTCTCTCGTTTCCTGACCCTAGTTGGGTCATAACTCACACAGTCCTAGATAAGCTAGGATTTCTGATTTCTAAAGCTGCCCAGGGACGGGCACTCCATAAACTGCCGCAGGTCGCCAGTCTGCGGCAAAGCTAAGCTGGGGACCACAGAGGTCTCCTCTCAGACCTCCCCCCAGAAGCCCTCTCTAGCCCTCGGGGCCTGGCGCTCAGAACCCCAGAGTCCTTGAGTCTGCCCCAGACCCTGGGCATCAGAGGTACACAGAAAGAACAAGTCCTTGTTCCAACAAACCTGGGAACCTGGGTTCTGGTCGTTTCCCAGCCCCCCTGGGGAGTCACTCACGCTGTCGTCCACCAGGTAGGCATTGATGAAGTGGGCCAGCAGGTTACAGCCCCACAAGAAAACCACATCGCCCAGCAGGTGAGGGACTAAGCCGCTAAAAAACAAGGTGAGCAGAGATGAGCCGGGTGGTGGTGGTGGTGGGGGGATTTCCTGGGGGCTCCACGCCCAGGAAGCAGCAAGGATGTTCCAAGCTCCGAAACTCAGCACGTCCACTGCCTCCCGAAGAGAGCCTGCAGGGCCACGGGCCAGTGGCTATGCACACAGGCAGGCACGCTCCTTTCTCCAGGGCTGGGGTTATGTGCTTCGTCTGATATCGGATTAGCTTCTGGTTTCAAACCACAGAAGCTGGGCCTCAAGATGTGAATTTTGCTAAATTCGGGATTTTCAATACATATTATGAAAGAGTGCCTACATGTTGGTAGTTTTCTCCTGGCCTTGATGCCTAACCAACTCTCACAAAACACTGCTCAACGCATGTGGTCTTCCCCCAGAATGTTCACAACCAAGCAAGTTTCACAAGACACTCAGCCCTCACCGGTTTGGCTCAGTGGATAGAGCATCGGCCTGCGGACCGAAGGGTCCCAGGTTCGGTTCCAGTCAAGGGCATGTACCTTGGTTGCGGGCATATCCCTAGTAGGGAGTGTGCAGGAGGCAGCTGATTGTTGTTTCTCTCTCGTTGATGTTTCTAACTCTGTCCCTCTCCCTTCCTCTCTGTAAAAAAAAAAAAATTAAAATTAAAAAACCAATAAAATATATTAATATTAAAAAAAAAAAAAAAGTGACGGCCTCTGAGATAAGCAGAGGGGAAGCTCCCCCCAGATCCAGCACCTGCGTGTGTGGGTGGTTTTAATGTGCTTATTTACTGGTTTAGATATGGAGTGACTTGAAAAGATTTCCAGAAAAATGGCTATCTCTGGGGAGGGGAAGTAGAATTATGATTTTTGAGTTTTTAAAAATCGTATTTCAAAATATTTCAAAAGTTCACAAGAATTAGATGCAACACATCTATGTTATGAGGGATATTAAGAAAATGAATCTCGTGAATGCAATTTCTAATCAGGCTGCTCCCACCTGCGCCCAGGTGGCCTCTTTGGTGATTTCTGAGAACTGTAACGTCTGCGTGTGTCTTGTTCCACACCCACGTGAAGAGAAGCAGAACCCAAAGATAAGTGACCCAACAGGAGTCCCAGTCACACACCAGAATGGCACTACACGGTGAGTGTGGAAACACCGGAGGCACCCTACTGGCTTGGCTCAGTGGACAGAATGTCAGCCTGCAAACTGAAGGTCCCAGGTTTGATTCTGGTCAAGGGCACATGCCAGGTTGTGGGCTCAATCCCCAGTAGGGGTGTGCAGGAGGCAGCCAATCAATAATTCTCTCTTTCTCTCTCTCTCCCCACCTTGCTCTCTGAAATAAATATAAATAAATAAATGTGTGTGTGTGTGTGTGTGTGTGTATATATATATATATATATATATATATATATATATATATATTTCTTTTTTTTTTTTTTTAATATATTCTATTGATTTACAGAGAGGAAGGGAGGGGGATAGAGAGAAACATCAATCTGCTGCCTCCTACACACTCCCTACTGGGTATGTGCCTGCAACTAAGGTACATGCCCTTGACGGGAATCAAACCTGGGACCCTTCAGTCCACAGGCTGATGCTTTATCCAGTGAGCCAAATCAGTAAGAGCAATGCAAATATCTTTTTAAAAAAAAAACACAAAACACCAGAGGCGGCGATGGGTAGTGTTTTAAAGTCTGATACACCAGTCACGTGGCAAATATTTACTCGTGTATAAGCATATATGCACGGGTGTATATATAAAAATGAGTGGGTGTACATAAGTTAAGGTTGGGCATTACTGACATTTTTTTTTTAAGTATATTTTTTATTGATTTTGTACAGAGAGGAAGGGAGAGAGATAGAGAGTTAGAAACATCGATGAGAGAGAGTCATCGATCAGCTGCCTCTTGCACATCCCCTACTGGGGATATGCCCACAACCAAGGTACATGCCCTTGACCGGAATCGAACCCGGGACCCTTCAGTCCCTAAGCCGACGCTCTATCCATTGAGCCAAACCAGTCTCGGCATTACTGACATTTCGGGCTGAATAAGCCTTCGTTGTGGGCTGCCCTTGGCATTGCAGGATTTTTAACAATAGCCCTGGCCTCTCCTGCATACCGGCTGAGACAACAAAAGATGTCTCCAGGCAGCACCAAAGTCCCTGGGGCAAACCTCACCTCCTGATGACACACACGCGCACACAGAGATTCTTGGTTACACTGGACCATAAATGAAAACATGTGGCCAACTATAAAACCACAATATGAGTAAACAGAGAGCCCGTACTAAGTACACACATGTCACTGCCTGGACCTTAAAAGGCAAAACAGATGACACTTGTCAGGCCCGGCTTTTGGGCTCCATCTATGGATTATTCTGCCGGTGTTTTCTTTACAGGGAAAGCAAGGTGGGTGTGAGACACAGGAAGGCAGAGGCTCTGTGGTCCTGGGGAGCTCGTGTGCCCTGCTGGCAGGTACTCTGCACAAACACAGGCTGAGCAGCGCCAGGTTTTCTGACTTTTTAAAAGAAGCCAGAAATAGGAACTGTTATGTGAAATTCCCTACATGTCAGACAGGAAGAACTCAGAAATGCTGTCACTGGAAGCTGTCAGTGTTCAGTTCTCAGTGCGTGGCACAGATTGTAAGTCATTTTTCAGCAATGAAACGATAGAGTGCCCTGGCTCATGGGCAGCCCCATGCCCACCCCCAGCCCTGGCAAATGGACAGGGCCTGGGTGGCCAGTGCAGTCAGCATTGAACAAATAGTACCATCTGTGTGTGGCCGTGTCTGGACCAGCATGCACAGCTCTAGTCCGGATGACCTGCAGCTTGAATATGCTGTGAAGTGCAGCCACTCAGGCAGGAGTGGGGCCTGGGGTTAGGCTGAGGCCAGCAGCTGCGGCCTGAGAGGCTGAGGGAGCCTGTGAGCAGAGCCATGCCCGCGGCCAGCTTTGGGGGTACAAACTCACGTACACAAAGAATCCCAGCAGCCCCTCCTCTTTGAAAATCTTCCCAATGGAGCTCAGCACGCCGCTGTGAAGAAAGCAAGACGGGCTAGAGGTCACTCAGTCACCTGGAGAAGCACCCTCCCGCCCCCCCTGCTGCTCAGAGCCATGAGTCCTGGTTGGGATGGGCAGGGGAGATTCTGTTTCCAGGCAGAACCCAGTGGAGATGAGAGCTCTGTTTGAGGGTGGGAGGCTACTTACCCAGTTCAGAGCCCCCACCAGCAGTGGGCAGAACTCAGCAGTTAGCAACCACTGTTTTGTGTGGGTCTGGAATTTAGGACTAAACCGTGCCGCCTGGGCTACGGCGCCCTGATGGACACTTCTGCCTGGCCCTAGACTTCTCTCTGGCTGAGCGACCTTCCGGTAGAGAAGCCTGAGTGAGAGCAGGGGGAGTGGCAAGTGGCAGAGTTACTTTCCCAGAAGGCAGAGGAGGAGCACAGGGACCTGCAGCAGAGCGCCCAGAGGCAGCCTGGGAAAGGCAGCTGGCCTCCCCAGCAAGAAGCCCGGGGACTGGCACTCATCACGGCCTGTAGGAGAGCAGACGGGCTTCTGGGTGAGAAATGAAAAGGAGGCTCCAGAGCAACCCCTGTGACCTTGCAAAGCCAAGTGGCCTGTCCTGCATGAGGCTCTGCAAAGCCTCAGGCGGCAGAGGCCCAGGAGAAAGAGACCGTGGGAGCCAAAGTCTTGGCTAGTGCTGGTTCCAGGGCACGAGCCCTGCCAGGCCCCACTATCTTTCTCCTCAGAACAGTGGCACGGCCACTGCTGGTCCGTCTGCCGAGCTCACATTTCAGTCTGGGGGAATGGGCCAATTTCCCACTAGTGAGCCCCAAGTGAGGGCCCCTAGCAGCCAAGCTTCCTGGGGCAGGGACCCCATGGGACAGCAGCAGAAAGCAGCTGAACCCAGGAAACGAGAATTAGAGAGGGTAACAGAGGCGGGTCCTGCTGTCACAGGCATGGGATCCGCCTCCTGTCCTGACTGAGCCTGAGGGGCAGGAGGGATAATGCCGGAGGGAAGGGCTGTTGTCTCTCTGCCCCAGCCCCCTGCAGTGCGGTGCGCAGATGCACAGTGAGCACTTGGCAACCAGCTGCAGTGGACAGAGGAGGAAACGAGCTGTGAGCAGGTGCTAGGACAGTGGAGAAATCCTTAGGGCATGGCCTAGGGGGCAGGAGGAATCCCTGTTTCAGTCCTAAGTAAAGAATCAGCTCTGGTGCCAGGACTCCTGATCCGAACCAACTCCCGGGCAGCCCGGACAAGAGACACAGAGAAAAGGCCCCTGGACACAGACTATGGAGGCCACTACATTCCTCTGAAGCCAGCACATCAGAGCCCAGGCTGAGAAGGGGCAGTGACTGGCCAGCATGGCCTGTCCTCCAGACTTGAAATGGGGACGAGGCCATGCCTCAGTCCCGAGATTTACCCACCTGTACTTGGCCTCCCGTCCCACAAACTGAACCATGCAGCGCATTGAAATGACTGAGGAGAGAGAAAATACAGAGGTGACATGACGCAAACACAGAGCCCAGGACAGCCAGCTGTGGGGTCCCGCTGGGGTGGCCCCTGCACATCATGGCCTGGGTCACAGAGCGGGGAGGAAGGGCCTTTGGGCTTCCCAGCACACCCCATGGCCACGGCACCCCATCTTCTACCTGGGAAGAGCCTCAGCTCCCTCTGGACAGGACTCCCGGCCAATCTCTCCTCAGTGGGATTGCAATGCAATACTCCCCCCTCACTGCCCCTTCCCCGTAAGTCTCCCGCCGCCCAGCTACAGTCCACGAGGACATCCCATTCTGCGCTCTGGTCTCTGGTGGGGCGGCTCACCATGCAGGGGGTGGGCCAGCATGCGGGACACGCACTGCATCATCATCTCGTAGGAGGTCTGCAAGAGGGCAGAGGGGGGTCAGAACCCTGGCAACCACTCAGTCTGGCCTGCGTCTGGAACGGACACTCCTGGGGAGCCAAGAGCTCATATGGGGCACAACTGAGATCTGCAGCCCCCACAGGGGGTCAGTCTCCCTCAGTGGCCCCACTTTTGCCCACCTCCAATTCCCACCCCCCAGGAGTGCTGCTGGGGCGAGGCCAGGCCCCCAAACAGCTGCAGGCTTTCTGGGGCTCCCTGCGGTATCCACACTGGCCTTCCACGTCACCCCTGCCATGCAAGCATGAGGACCCAACCCTGAGCCTCTTCAAAGACCTGTCCCTCCCCTCTCCCCGGGCCTCTCCCTCTCCAATTCCAGCACCCACCTCCTTCACCACCTTCTTCAGAGAGGTTTTCATGTCGTCCTTGTTGGACACCTGCTCAATCTCATCCGGAGGGAAAACCTGAACGAACACAAAGGAGGGCCAAGCAAATCACAGTGCCTCTTGCTGGACCTCATGGAAGCAGCCCCTACCGCATCCTCTGCCGCGGCCACTGGCTGGCCAGCCTCCGGGAACCCAGGGCTGGAGCCTGGGGTCACAGCTGGGGAGACTGTGGGCCACCAGGGTTTGGGGCCTGGCTATGGTGCTGGGTGGAGGCCCGGCCAGGCTGGGGGCAGCTGGACCAGTGCACAGGCTGCCTCTGGGGTGGCCGGGAGCTCAGGGGAACCTTGGCCACTGCTGCTGACTTCCCCGGGCCTCACCTTCTTCATGCTGCCCCGGGTCACGGTGGAGAGGGCGTTGGACATCAGTCGGGGGCTTAGGCCTCGGAACAGCCCGATCTTCCCGTCCACTTGCACAATGTACTTGGCTAAAAGGAAGCAGGGGTGGCAGTGTCACGCCAGCCCAGACGCCCACTCTGAAGTCACAGTCACGGAGGGGAGATCTGTCCAGGAGCCTGGAAGCAATCAGGCCCCCCCAACTTCTCTAGCCCATCCCTTCAAAACATAAAAGCCTTCAAAACATATTTCTGACAAGTTCACATATTTCTTTTTAGCTTTGACAAATCTACTTGGCAAACCGAGCTCTAGTTTTCAACTTGGTAACTTCAGCGCTGCAACCCAGAAACCAGTTCTGTTGTTCATATTAAAAAAAAAAAAAAAGTGTTTCTCAGGGGAAAGGAGAAAGGTAGGGTTCCCATAGATAATAATAAAGTTTTCAACCCAAGGGAGAAGAGGCTGGGCATGCCCGGGGACCGCACCTGGCCCTGGTGGCATTCATTAACCAAGATGGGAGAGGACCTGCAAGTGGAGAAGGAGCCAAAGCAGAGGCAAGGACTATTTTACAGAAAAAACGTCAGCAGCCAGGGAGCTAGAGCCACCTGTGAGTCCGAGCTTCTTCTCTGGGGTCTCTGAAAGGATCGCTTTTTTAGTTTTGTTGTTTTCTTTAATATCAACTTTTAAACTGTGTTCAAAAAGCTGCTGTACTTTTACAAAGCTGCATACTTGGAAGCTGGCAGGACATTCTCAGACAATGCTCCCCTCAGACCCGCGACTCAGCTCTCCAGCGCCTCACAGTGGCAGGAACTGGCTTGTCCGGCCTTTCTCTGTAATATGTCTGCCACCCAGCAGTCCTCGGCCACAGCCACGGCCACTGCCAGCGGGCTCTCCCAGGCTGCAGCACCTGTTCCCTGCACACTTGCTTCCTGAGATGGGCCAGCTGGGGAGGGGGGGGAAGGGGAGAACACAGGCGCTGGCTTCAGAGTGGGCAGAAGGGAGGTTTGTTTTGGGGGAAGGGAGCACCACTCAGTAAGAGGCTGGGTAAACAAATGTGACCTCCAGTGAGGCACTCAGCCTCTTTCTATTCACCTGCCCAGCAGCGAAAAAGGAGTTAGGGCTCCCTACTTTCCCCATCTCTGAGATGAAGGATGAACAAGTGAGAGCAGAGAAAGGCAGCAAAAATGTTCACAGAGGCCCAGCTGGGCCCAAAGCCTCGCCTCTCTCCTCCCCGCCGGCTGCAGGGGTTCTGCAGCCCCTGGAACTCCCCCAGGAAGCTCTGCGTCACACCTCCACCGTCACACCTCCACCGTGACAGGGGCGGAGATGCTTCTAGACAGGCTCCAGGCCTCCACACAGCCGAGCCTCTCCCCGTGGAGAGCAGTGTGGTGCCCGGAGACACCCAATGGGCTCTGCCACAACATGTGGGAGAAAACACATCCCTGTCACCGGGTGGGAGCACCTCAGCACTCTGTTCACCTTCGCAAGAGGAGATGGTGAGTCCGTTCCCTCTCCTGAGTCCTTGCGGCGATGGCTGCGATGTGAACAAGGCCGGCACGGCTGGAGGGTGCCCAGCCACACAGACACCCCAGGGAGGGGCTGGCAGCCCACACCCCTGCTGCCCACAGGCCCGGTGCTGCCTGGGTCCGCAGCCTCACTGCACTCCGGGGGTGCCTTCCTCATGCTGATCTCCCCTCCCCCACACTGACAATCTTGAAGTAAAAACAAATAAGAACACATTTATTTCCCCACAAAATGACACGTTCTGACTGGCCCCGGACTGTGCCCAGCACCATGGCGGCAAGACTGAAAGAGAAACGTGACAGCGGAGTCTGCCAGCAGTGGGTGAAGTGAAACAAAGGGGACAGGAGGCGAAGTCCCGTTATTCAGTAGAAACAAAGGTCTTCAGAGAACATTCTGGAACGACCAAAGAGTAAGAGCAGAGGTGGAGGAGGCATGAGGGGACCGGGCTGGCTGTGAACTTGGACAGCAGGGCACATGTAAAGGAAGTCCCCTCCATGACCACCCTGAGGGGGGACTGGAGAGGGGCAGCCATGGGGACTTGGAGAGCTCTTGGGCAGCTGGTGCCCACGGCCCAGGGGGTGAGCAGCAGAGGCAGCTGGGTGGACCAGGCCCGGGAGGGGGGTGTGAAGGGCCAGGCATGAAGATGCTGGTGCCACTCGCAGAGGAATCGGGCAGAGCAGTGAGGCTGCGTGCCCCAGCTCACCCGGCTGGTCAGGGCACACCACAGGGAAAGCCAGACTCACCGTGCACTGCTCTATACCCAGTGGGTGGAGATGCCAGAGTCAGGTGGCTCCATGCCCAGGGAACACAAAGGAAAGAGGCCGAAGAAAGAAGAAAGAGAACCAGGCCTCCTGCTACAGTAGCAGGAAAGCAAAAAGCTAGTAGCAGGGCCGGCTGCTCAGAAGGCAAAGGATACCTCACTGCCCGCGCCCCCTCCCCCCCAATTCCAGGCACAACCTGGGGGCAGGGATGACAGGGACCAGTGTCTTCACTGGCTCCTCCCTTGAGCACCTGTCTGCGCCCCCTCCCCCCTCGCTCATCCCCTGCCTGACCTGCTGCCAGGTAGAGGATTTGGACCAAAGCTGTGTTATTCACCGGCTCTCACCCCAACACCCTGCTGCCTCGGGCCACACTCTGGGATCCCTCCTCCATGCCAGCTCTGACTGGGTGCCATGCTGCCCATGGTTCCCCAGGGCCACCTGATGCTTCTCTTATGTCGATGTGGTCTCGCCTGGAAGCACACTCACCGTAGGTGAAGAAGCTCGGCAGATAGAGGACCTTCCTCCCCAGCACATTGGTCCCAACGGTGGGGGGCATCGGCTCATGGCCCACCTTCAGAATCAACAAACACAGGAGGTCAGATCCCACTGCTGACCCTCTCACTGCTTCTCATCTTCCCAGGCCTCTCACTCCTTCCCCACAGATTCTAATGCTGTTCCTGTCCATGTTTCCCCAACAAAATGTAAGAGAAATTTCATCAGTGTCTATAACCATCAGGATCATGAATCTTCCAATGAGCAAAAATGTCCAGAGGCTGCCCTACCACTATCCAAGTCATCCCCATCCCCCATCATTACCTTCAACTTCCAGACATCCCCAGGACAAATCCCCCTTTTTTATATACTTTGAATCCCATGCTCATCTCAGACTAGATCGGTTTACTGTCATCTCCAGGTTAAAAACTTCAGTCCAGTCTCAATTGTAAATGTGGTTAACACTGAAACACAAAATCTCACCCCAAACTTCAGCAGCTCAGCTCCAAGTAACCCATTCCAAAGGTCACCCACAACTCGAATTTCTCACCGCACCCACAGATGTCAACAGATCTCTTCTTCTCAGACAGAGCAGTCTGCCACCTCAAATCCCAGCTGCTCCTCCAACAATTCCCCAACTGTTTTCTAATCTCAATCACCCATATCCTTGTGACAGAAAGTCCCACATTTCCATGGGGCTATGGTCCCTTTTGCTGTGTGGATGCTGTTACATGTGAACCTCATGTGGGTGAAGGACCAAGCCACCCACACCCCGTGAGGAAGTGGGGTCTCTGAGGGGTGAGGCTGTTTGCTAAGCCGCCCATCTCGGCTGCCAGGCAGGAGGCAGCATGTCCGGGAGACCAGCATGTAAGTGGGGTGAGAAGTTTCCTTCCTTGACAGGAGGCTGGAACAGCAGCCCTGTCCCTCAAAGCAGGCCAACGGAGTCTGGGGACCAGTGAACCAGACCAGCAACTTTTATTTATTTATTTATTTTTTTTACAAATAAATATATTTTTATTTATTTCAGAGAGGAAGAGAGAGGGGGAGATAGAAACATCAATGATGAGTGAATCATTGATCAGTTGCCGCATGCCCCCCACTGGGGATCAAGCCTGTAACCCGGGCACGTGCCCTGACGGGGAATCTGACAGTGACCTCCTGGTTCATAGGTCAATGCTCAGCCACTGAGCCATGTCAGAGGAGCAACTCTTGAAATGTGGAAAGCAGAATTGGCAGGGTTGGGAGCTCTGCCTTAAAAACTGAACAAGGTATGCTTCTAGTGCTTTCCTGGGTCAATTCCCTTTCTTCTTTGCCTTAGGGTTTTTGAAAGTTCACGCTGTCCCGTATGGATGGGATTCTGAGCTACCTGACATATTACTGATTGTAAAGTAAGAAAGCTTCTCTGGATGAGACCTTTTTTTTTTTTTTTTTTTAATATATTTTATTGATTTTTTTACAGAGAGGAAGCGAGAGGGATAGAGTTAGAAACATCGATGAGAGAGAATCATCAATCAGCTGCCTTTTGCACACCCCCTACTGGGGATGTGCCTGCAACCAAGATACATGCCCTTGACCGGAATTGAACCTGGGTCCTTTCAGTCTGCAGGCCGATGCTCTATCCACTGAGCCAAACTGGTTTCGGCTGGATGAGACCTTCTTTTTTTTAAAAAGTCTATCCCAGAGGAGCTGGGGATGAGCCAGCTGACCTAGGCAGTTAGCCCTCCCCTTCTACACATTCATTCCCTTGTGGGTTAAAAGCTCAAAGGTTTTGAGTTTTGTGTTGATTCTTCCTCTTGACAGGCAACATTTCTTTATCCTCTCTACTCCAAGTCTGAGCTATGCTCTTTTGCTGTCTTATCCAGTCTCATCACAACCATTTGGGGGTTCCATTTATTCCAATTTCATCCCTAAATTGCTGTGTCCCTTCACCTCATGTCCCCATAGCTTCCAAATCTATATTTGTAACTTCTGCCTGGGTTATCAAAGGCACAGCGGCCATACTTCTCCCTTATTCTCCTTGCCCTCAAAATTCCATTATTGGAGCCCAAGTCACACTTACCCAATTTCATCCCCAATTCCGGAACCCAGTCCTGAGCTGTGGCTCTGTATCAGACTCTGGCAGTTAGCCTATCCCCTTCCATCTCCAAATCCTGAAAGCTAACTCCCAGGAACCGATTTTAGGCACTGCGTTCTTATTTACCCCAAATCTGCCACTCCAAGCCTGTTAGCCCCCCAAACTGGTATCTACCTTTTTACAAAATGTTACTGATTCCTAAGCTATGCCCATTAAAATTTCACTCTAAGTATGCTATACTCAGGACCAACTGAGGTCAAACTGGATAGGCCACCTCCCTACCATTCAGTTCTTCTAACCCACTTGCGGCTCTTTGGCCCCTTGAGTGTGGCTCGGCGTTAGAACCATTTCTTCAAAATACACTTGCCCAGACCGACAACCGACTTCTGCACATGGGCCATGGAGTTTCAGTCGCCCTGTATGTGTGAGCCTGCAGGTGGTATTTTGTGGAAGAGCCACACTTGAGGGGCCAAAGAGCTGCATTGGCTCTCGAGCCGAGGTTTGCCGACCACTGTTCTTACCGTTTAGCCTCCCTTTACTCCCCAATTCCCCATTCTCCCTCATTCCCAATTCTCTCTTCAAATCACGCTTATTTCAACTTCTTCTCAAACCTGCAAACCATCTACAATGGTCCACATGAAGCCACTTCCCACCTCCTTTCCATGGAGCCCTCTCTGCCTGTATTCCAGCATCCCCCCCTCCACCGATCCTCCCGTCTGCCACTCTAAAACCCCAGCCCTCAGCCAAAACTAGCTCCCAGTACCTTACTTCACACCTCAGGTACCTGTCAGGCCATCCTCCAAATCTATTACCCCATTCCCTTTATGCCCTCTACTCCAAGTCTGATTTCAATCTCTCTTATCCATCCAAATCCCTCTTATCCCAATGGCATCTCCCACTGTCAGTACAATTATAAAGAAGTAAATCTGACACACATTCACCTCAACTCAAATCAAACCTCAAATCTTCGTTGGGTCTCCATCTTAATTTTTATTCCCCTCCCCACCCCCTTCTTCCTTTTAAAAAAAAATACATTTTATTCATTTTTTTACAGAAAGGAAGGGAGATAGTTAGAAACATTGATGAGAGAGAACATGGATCAGCTGCCTCCTGCATGCCCCCCACTGGAGATGTGCCCACAACCAACCTAGGTGCCCTTGACCTGAATCGAACCTGGGACCCTTCAGTCCGCAGGCCGACACTCTATCCACTGAGCCAAACCGGTTTCGGCTCGCCCACTCTTCTTAACTGGAAAATTCTAGGCTAAATCTTCAGGCCTGAACCACCCCCATCTAAACAGTGCCCTTTTCGGTTACCCCCACCTACCTAATTCGGCCAAATATGCACTCCTCCACCCTGCCTCCTTCCAATTCAACCTCTCCCTGGCCAGCACCAGTATACCCTGTGCACCTGCATGGCACTGTGCAGACACATCCCTTGGCCTCAGTTCCTGCCAGCCTCTCTATCCTGCCATCTTATGTCCCAACTACCCTTTCTGCCTAATTCCAATACTTCCAAACCCCTTCAGCACCCCCGCCTCCGTTACAAGGGCTGAGACCATCTCCCGACCCCCACCGTGACTTCCATTTTCTCCTCCAAATGCGTCATTCTTTCTCCTAAAACCTCCTCGCTCCCTCTCCAGGCAAACGCCAGTCCCCTCCCCCCACTGCGTCGCCCTCTGTTCCTCTCCTCCACCAAATCTGCCGTCGCTATCAGATCCAGAGGCCCCCCCCATTTCCTGCTAAACCCTACGCCTTCCCCCTCTCCCACCAAATTCCACCACCGGTAGCTCCATTGCCCTGCTCTTCCTTCCTGGAGTCTGATGCCTTCTCCGCTCTCAATTTTTGGCTTAGGCCCCGGGCCCCCCGTCCTTTGTCTTAAATCCATCCCTTTAAATCCATTCCTATCGAAGCCAGAGCTCTTGCTCCCTTCACCCTGAAGATGTGCTCATCTTCTACATATTTCGCCTTGGCCCCCAATTCTCCTTCCCACCCATTCGCCAAAACTCCCTGCCCCTCCCCCAAATCTGTTGCTTTTTCACTCGCCCCCAAATAGGCCCCTTCCCTTCTATTCTAAGTTCTCGCCTCCATCTCTTCATCCCCGAAAGAAACCCGTCTCTATCCCATCGCCCTCTCCTTGCACCTCCAGAGCTCCTTGTTCCTTCCACCCTCTCCCAAATCTGTCGCTCGGACCCCTTCGCACCTCTCCTACACCCTCAAACCTGTGCCCCTGCCTCCCCCAAACCCTCCTGCCTCCCTCCCCTCCCGTCCCTGCGGCCCCCGCTCCTCCTCCCAAACCCGTCGCCATCAACCCCCGCCCCAATCGGACCAGATCGAGGCCTGTCACCTTCACGGGAGCACCCCCTCCCTGCGGCCCCCCGGCCCCCACCTGGATGAGCAGTTTCACGTAGAGCAGCGGGTGGCTGAGCGCCGTCACGCCCGCGCCCAGGGCCACGAAAAGGGCCTCGGTGGTCGGGGTGTTGTCCCCGGAGCCCAAGCCCCCGGGGCCGCCGTCCATCCTGCGGGCGGAGGGCTGCGCCGCGGGCCGAGGGTGGCGCGGGTGTGCGCGGTGCGCGGGCGGCGGGTCGCGAGCCCGGGCCTCCACCCCCGCCGCCGCCCCGCCGCGCGCTCCGGCTCCAGCTCCGGCTCCCGCCATCCCCGCGGCACCGCCGCGAGCCTTGGGCGCCACTTCCGGGTCCGAGGCCCCCATGGCGCCCGCCGGCGAGGTCACTCCCCGTCACGTGACGGCGGCGCCCGCCCCCTCGCTGACGTCAGAGGCCGGGCTGTGCGGCGGCGGAGCCCCAGGGGATCATGGGAGGCCGCGCGCGGGGAATACGCGCCTGTCGGGCTCCGGGCCTGGCGCCGCGTTTGGCGGCCCGGGTCGCGGGGTCGGGCCCGGGTGGGCCTCCACAGGCCCGGGCGCTCTCCCAAGACTCCCGTGAGCGGCGGGGCGGGGCTGGCGGTTCTGGAAGCCAGACGCCCCCAATATGGTCTGCGGCGTTGCCAAGCCCGGTGCGGGCTTCGGGAGTTTCCCCTGCAGGTCCGCGCCCGCCCCTTTGCGGCCCGGACCCTGGAGAAACGGCCTGCGAGGCCTCCGGCTGCCGGGCTACGGCTCTGCGGGCTCAGACCGCCCCCCGCTTTGCCTCCCGCACCAGACCCGACCCAGGCGTCCTCAGCATCCTTTGCACTGAGCCTTCGCGAACCTCGCCTGGGCCCACGGCTGGAAAATGTGTTTTGCTCTCAAGTTCTTGGCCAGTCTCCATCGCTAGATGCGGGGGTTTTAGTCAGTCGCTCAGTGTGAGCACACGCAGGCACTGTGCCTACTAGGTGCTATAGTCTAAATCTCTAGTTAATAAGAATAAAATAATAATTGGCCCTAATATCGCACTTTGTGCCAGACACATTTGCAGGTGCTTTGCACCATGTTGACGCCAGTATAACCCTCACAACCCTCGTAGAGGAAGGCTTAGCTGGTCCTCTACCAATATTTTGTTCAATTTCATTTCTCTGTGTTAAAATGTTGATGAGATGCATAGGAACTGTAGTCTATGGTAAAATCGGTTTTGTTATCCGGTAAGTTGGGGACCTAGTGTGTTTATTACAGCAAGTGCCCTGTCCCTACTTGTAGTGCCACCCCTGCACGGACACCTGGAGCCGCCTGCTGCTTGCGAAGGTGCTCAGGGAACCTATCCCAACTCCCTTCCTTACCTACAAAGCCACTGCTGACAAACACTCTAGCAGCGGTCGCCAACCGGTGGTCCTTGAGGTCCGAAAGGTTGGCGACTGCCTGTTTAAGGAAACATTTGGAGTCTGTGACACCTTCCACATCCCAATCTTGCTAGCTACCTCCCTTCCTCCCTTTCTTCACTGTGCTGGCTTCCCTAATCCAGTTCTGTTCTGGACAAAGCCTCCTAGCCCACCATGGCCATTGTGGCTTGGTTGGTTGGAGTGTCCTCGCTTGCACCAAAAGGTCTGGGGTTCGACTCCCAGTCAGGTTACTCTGTTTTCTCCTTCAAACACAACTTTCATTCAACCTACCTCCCACCCTAGGAGCATTTTAAATGACTCCCTTTTGCCTGATTAAGGCTTTTTCCCTACAGGGGCCCTACAGTGAAGTTCACCCACAGCCTCAGCTAACGTTACAGTGGCACTAACTCTCCTCCCACAAGTCAGATTTCCGTAACTTCCTCGCACAAACCTTTTCTCCTCTCGGCTTTTCCTCCCCATTTCCCCCGGCTGTCTGTTTTTCCTTCTGACCTTGACTGTGGGTCCACTGTTAGCTCTGTCATTCATTCTGCCTTACATGGTTACCTAACTTTTTGCGTATATTTGGTTCTTTCAGACAGTTCCATGTAAGGCAGCCACATAGTATTGTCCTGCATCATTTTGTATCTTCCACATTACCAAATACAGGGATACACTTGCAGTTAATGTCCAGGAAATTCTAAGTGATTGAGTAATTTCCCTAAGCAAAGACATTAAAGTAAACATAGGTCAGACACCTTAGGAAACCAAACAGAACCAAATATGTGACTGTACTATGGCTATAGTTCCACCACCCAGTCTCTTAGGAACACCAAGAGAGAAAAAAGTTCACAACCAAAAAACTACAAACCACTCAAAAACACATCTCATCACGACAGTGAATGGCCAAAACAGGAAGCTTAACTACTCCTGGGGACTTTTCAACAAGAGCAATCTGAAAGAAACTTTAAGGGAGAAAATGTAGTTTTCAAGTGAAAAAAAAAGAAAAGAATAAAGAACAGAAATATTGGGGAAAAGGAAAAGACGCTGTGAAAAAAGAACAGGTGTATTTGAAAAGGAATCCCACAGGTGGTCTGGAAATGGACGCATGCTCCCTGCAGTGGCTGAATGGAAGGAGAGCCTGCTCAGAGTTCACTCCGCGGGGCAGCTGGCAGCATGTGCGCTTGTCTCTGGGCTGGTTGGTGCCCTCCGTCCCCCTCTCCCCCCCGCCCTACTGTGGTCCCGTTTGCCACAGTCTCCACCGCAGAGTGCTTGCCACACTGTGCTGTGGCTTCTGCTTGGTCAGCCTCCCCAGTTGGAGCGCAGGGACTGTCCTATTCATGGTTGGCACAGCGCCTGGCACATGGCAGGAACCCACTTAATGTTTCCAAGAAAATGTGTGAAAAAAGAAAAGTGATTTTCACAAAGTTAAAGTTTGTGGTAACGCCACTTAATGGGAGCTTTAGCGAGACCTATATGCCCCAAATGAGGATCCAACAACAGCAGGAAATGAACAAGAACTATGACTCTTGTAGACTTTATTGACAAGGATGTAAACCGCCGTCACTGGAACCCGTGGGAAAGTAATGAAAAGAATACAAAATAATAAGTATCTGCTATTGCAGCTAAATGGACATCAAACTAATCAGGTCAGGAGTGAACTTGAGCTGATGTCAAGGTCAGCATGAGAGCTCAGGCCTCACCAGGGGACAGGGAGGCACAGCAGGTGTTAGGAGACTTCACCCTGGTGTAAAGCCTGGATGTAGATTTACTAGTTCTCGGTGAGAGCATTCTGGCTGCACTGTTCACCTGTTGGCCTGGGTAGGGGTAGGGAGCACTGGACTTCCTTCTGTCTGGACCCTAGGGTTCCATACCCAGACATCAACTCCACCCAGAGACTAAGCTGCAAAAGGAAACAATTTTAGGTTCTGGCATCCCTGCTCCCATTGCTCCCCACCATTCCCCAAAGCACGTAGGATTCTACTGAGCATTTTTAAAAAATATATTTTATAGATTTTTTTTACAGAGAGAAGGAGAGAGGGATAGAGAGCTGGTAACGTCGATGAGAGAGAAACATCGACCAGCTGCCTCCTGCACACCCCCCACCAGGGATGTGCCCGCAACCAATGTACATGCCCTTGACCGGAATCGAACCTGGAACCTTTCAGTCCCCAGACCGACGCTCTACCCCTGAGCCAAACTGGTTTCGGCTACTGAGCAGTTTTAAGAGCTAAATTCAACCAGCTTTCCTATATTCAGGAACTCTTCTGCTAAGGCAGTGGTCGGCAAACTCATTAGTCAACAGAGCTAAATATCAACAGTACAACGATTGAAATTTCTTTTGAGAGCCGAGAACCAACTTCTGCGCATGGGCCACGAAGTTTCAATCGCACTGTACGTGCACACCCGCACGTGGTATTTGGTAGAAGAGCCACACTCAATGGGCCAAAGGGCCGCACGTGGCTCTCGAGCTGCAGTTTGCGGACCACTGTGCTAAGTGACGTGAGGCCTGCCTGCACAGGTGCCCAGGTCCTTCCAGTCAAGTTGCTTTTGGCTTTACCCATATTAACTCCCTTGATTGTTTCAATACTAGTGCCCTGGTGCACAGATTCGTGCACATTGAAAGGAAATTAATTAGAAGGTGGCCAGCGGGGTTGGACTGGGCCAGATGGGCCGGACACCCCCTGGAGCCAACCTCCTGCGGTTCCTTCCTGGCCGGCTGCACCTGGGGCAGAGCTGCAGCTCGAAGGGCATCTGCAGTGAGCAGGTTCTCTCCGGCAGGTGGGGTCCCTCCACCTCGCTTTTGGGGAATCAGGCCAAAACCTGCTCTCCCACATCCCTTAATGAGTCCCAAGTTGCGAGAGGGCGGTTCACCGCAGCTTAGCAGCTCCTGCATTGAGCATCTGCCCCTGGTGGTCAGAGCACATCATAGCTACTGGTTGGATCATCTGCCCCCTGGTGATCATTGTGTGTCATAGTTACCAGTTGGTCAGTCGCTTAGCCTTTTATATATACAGATGAGGTGGGCTGTGATGATCATCGTCATTCCACAGGTGAGGAAACAGAGACCCAAAGAAGTTATGTAACTTGCCAGGATCGCACAGCTAATAAGAGTCAGAGCTAATAAGATTCAGATCCAGATCTGCCTGAGTCTGACTCCTCACACTCTCAAATGGAGGTGAAAAAGAGTGGGCAGTGTCCAGAGTGATGATTCTGGGCCTCTAGAGCCTGCTGCCAGGTGGGCCAGTCACTTCGAGATTGTTGCTGCCACAAAGGCCTTCTGGTCTATGAAGAAAGCTAGCTTTCAGCAGCTGTTGGCCCACATGTTCTGAACCACACTCAGTGTGGCCACCAGACTGCCTTGTGAGCCACAGGGCTGTCTGATGCCGTCTCACTCTCACCTTCCTCCTCCATTTCTTCATTCCTCTGGGGAGACAGCACCTCCTTCATCACTTTCCCCCCAAGATTACACTCTCCAGGTCACGCCCAGCCTCGGGGGCTCCACAGGTGCTGACCGATCCAGAAAGAGCCTATCTGATGGAGGAAACATGCTAGCTGGAGTCTAAGGGGTCTTGCTGAGTCCTGGAATTGCTGCTCCCAGCTGTGCAGCCCTAGAGGCTTTCTGAGCCTCAGTTTCCCTGGGTGTGCAATGAGAACTGGGGATAAGGAATGTGATAGAGTGACAGAACCACCTGCTCAATAACTGCTGGCTGTTATTAATGCAAAAATATCCAGAGTTTGCCCATTTCCTCCGTGAATGGCTTTGAATATTTTCCCAGCCTCCCATCATTCCCTTCTTTGTCGGTAGCTCCTCATTGGCACAGTCCAATCATTTCTTGCTGGTGTGGGACCACCTCCACCCAGGAAGTAATCGGGTGCTCACTAGCTGATGACAGCCCTGGCAGTTCCTGCCGAGGGGACCTCTGAATTAAGGGAGCGGAGAACTATGTGCAAAGGCCTGAGTGG